AGAGCAAGCCTTATGGGAATACTTGTGTTTTTACTGTGATACATAGCTGAATGCATAATCCTTTCCCACCTGTACGCTGCTTCTTGCAGTGGTTGTATTTTCTGAGTACATCTAAAAAGAATTCATTGCTAAGGGGCAATTATGAATGTGATTAAAACCTGGGAAAGCAAAAGCAGGGAAGAGCAAAAGCTCATAGTTAATGCGTATATTCCTCTAGTGGTTTTGTTTGAGTAATTAAATGGGACATAATTGCTTAGTGAAATATCCATTGCTTTTGCTGCTTGCTAAGTATTATTCCTGAAAATAAGTGTTGCTTCATCTAAATTAGGATCGCATAAAACTCATACCAGTGGAGCTTGTGACTGGCACTTGCATGTCTTTATAAGTGGATTCACAGATTCCTGTGGATCACTGCAAAAATGGATTCTCAAAAAAAATCAGGAGAATAAGTGGTTACCTCTAATACAATTAAGGTCTTGCTCCCTGTAAGAGGAGCAAAACCTTTCCTGTTTTTCACATCACAAGCTTTTCTCAGCCTTGACAGCATTTATGAGCTTGACTTGGGTCAGTGACACAGAGGACCAGGCTCAGTTTTGATGGATGCTGTGGCGCTGAGCTTGTTAGCAGTTCCTTGTCCTAGGTCACCGTGAGAGCGTGGCACATTTAAATGAATTTGCACTTGAGCTTTCCATGACCGTTAATTCTTTCATCCCCAGTACAATTTATCCTTTGCTTACTCTTTTTTTAAGTTTTTAAAACTTGTTTGGATGCTTAAGGGCCACAGAAAGAAGGGACTGTGAAGCAGCTCCACCCGTGGATGAAACTCTCAACTCATCAGTACAGAAGCAGAGCTGGAGGCATATCTGTGAGCTAGAAGGGGTAGCGACTGCATCACAGTAATACTTTCTGCAATCTGCAAGGAACAGAACAGAAGCTCATCAGCTAAGCTTTTATTGGACCAAACTTCATCTTGAAACACCCTTTCTAGTGCTTAAGGCTGGAAAGTAGAGAAAACATAGAATGGAAAAGGAAACAAGGTGTAGATTCAGGTATTGTTGCCAAATAGAAATCAAAGGCAAAAGGATTGATTATTTCTGTTCCTGTAGAGATATGCAGAGAAGCTAATCGTTTAGAAACAGGCTCCTGCAGGTCTTGAGGTTACCACAAATCTTTCCAATTCTTTGGTTTTTTGCTCCTCTAATAAGAAAGGTGAGAACAAGTGCATTTGTGTGGGAGGCACCTCCTCCAGTCCCTTGTTGCACTGTTCCATGGGAACTAGGCTGGAGTACAAGCTCACTCTCCTATTAGTAGACAGCCTGATGGAAATCTTGAAGCCACTTGGGAACAGCTATAAAGAAATTTTAAGTGTTTGTGGGCAAAAAAGAGGAAAAAGCATGGATAGAAGTGCCTACAAAATGTATTTTCATCTAATATGGGTGTTGTATGTCCCAGTGCTAAAAGCATTAAATGCTCTGGTGTGCTGCACTAATTGCTGTGGTATGCTCTGCCTGATTGACTCTCATGGAATGGGAAGTGGAGGTGAGGAGATGATAGTAGATGTAATAGTTCCTTATGGATCTAAAACTCTTCCCTGAGGTTAAGGTACTGGTCAAAGCATCATGAAACTGAAGAAGCAATGGACTTTTTGGCATCTTGCAGTGACTGGGGAAAGTGAGTCACATGTTCACAACTGGGATGAAATATTTTTCAGACTATAGATTTATCCCAGTGGAAAAACCCAAATCTTTTGGCATCACTTCTAACCCAAGGACACCTCCATTCCAATCTTCATCCTTCAGAACGTAGCTCACACTGGCGTCTTTCTGAAAGCTTAGAAGCATGGCCCTCAGAACAAGAGATGATGCATTTGCTGTTTCTTCCTCTCCAAAAGTTCATCCCTTAAGGACCAGGGATTAAATACTTTCTCTTTTTTGGTTGCATAATGTGCTTTAAAATTGTATTGAGTAGTAGCTTGTGATCTCAAAAAAGCTTACACTTTTAAAACTAAGTGTTCATAAATCAAACTGAAATTATGTGCCAGGAGGTGGTAGTCAAGATTTTAGTGGAGCAGAAAAGCATGTTGGAAAGAAATCTGTGCAGGCAGGTCAGAGGAGGGGAGAAGAAAATGAAAAGACCGATTTGAAGTCATTGTTAAATAGTGAAAGAAAAGGACAAAAGAATTGGGATTAGAATTTTGTGCTCTTTCTCCTGAGCTTTTGTTACTCAAAAATGTTTCATCGGGAAATTGTAAGTACATACATACTTTTATCTGCAATGAATAGTTGCATAGCCATTCTTTAGCATTTGTAGTACAACACTAATCTTCTATGAAGCTCAGCATTCACTCCATCAGTATTTCATAGCCTGGAGAGCTTAGTGGAACTGCCCTGTGCATGTCTCCCTCACCATTCACAATGAGAGAAATCCTATCACAGTACATTAGCTGTGGCAGTGTAACCCTTGGGGAAAAAAAAAAGTGCACTTGAAACACTTTGAATGCAATCTCATGGCTAAATCCAGACCCATTGCATATGATCCTACTAACTTGCTAATATGGTTCATAGTTTGCAACTTTGGGGGTTAAAATCTTAACTCAAAATTGATCAAAATAGCTAGAACAAGGACAGGTTATAACCTAGGAGTAGGTCCCCACTTTCTTAAGGAACTTGCTTAGTCCTGACCTGCTTGCTTTTCTTGTAATGATTTAATTTTTGAAGCGGTTTCCATATACTGTGTACTGAAGCAAGATTATGAAGGGTCTAGTCTCTATGTTTGTAAGTACAGGCTAGGATGACTTCTAGGAATGGTATAGCTTTATTTCATCTTGTATCTTTCCCCAAGAGTCTCTGGATAATGATATTGCCATATATTCCTTGAAGGTTTTGTCAGATGGGATGGGAATTAACATTCTTTACCCTCTTTGAACATTTATACTATTAAAAATCCTCTACCATGGGGAGAGTGTGCTTCTGCTTCAAAATTTTGGAATGGAAGTTAGTTTAAAAGAACTTCTTCCCAAGTGAGCAGAAAGTCTATCTGAAAACTGTCTGTAGGCTTGTCAGTGGCTCAGAGACCCCAGTTGACAGATATGGGACCAGATGCACAAGGAGCTATAAGGTACCAAATATATGAAGACATATTTATTAAAGAAAGAAATTAAAAGACATTCTGTATAGCCAAAAAAATCCAGTTTAACTGGCTTGAACAGTACACTGAAACTTGTCTAACTCTGAATTTCTACTACTTCTAATAAGAGATCAAACAAAAAAGCTTGAAAACCAGTTTTAAGGCAAAGCTTTGGGTGAGTAGGTGAGGGAATGATAACAAAGTACTTGAATGATGTTGAAATAAGATTTTAAAAGAAAAAAGAAATTTCATGACACAGGGACTTTGTATGAAATCCTTGAGGCTAGAGCTGTTCATTGCAACACTCACAGGATAAGAGTACATTGCCTTCATTTAGTCTTTCATCCAGAAAAGCAGGACACCAAGGTGTAAATGAGCTGTGCATACGGATGTATTTTTTTATATATATGTATATAGCTCTACCAATTACTGATGTGCAGCCACAGGCAGAGAAGAGTATGATATGACTTCTGCTTGGCAGTTATGAAAGACTGTGTGAACTATGAAAGATTAAATGTGAACTGCAACTGAATGTGCAAGGGACACAAAGGCTGCTCAAATAGACTTCAGAGATTAGTGGTAAACTGAGCTCCATGAGGCCAGTCTAGTTTGTTCAAATCTCCCATGTGTGCTGCTTAGGAGTATACAATCACAATAACTTCTGGATCTTTTGGACCACTTCTAGAAGAGGAAACCAGCTATGTTGCCTGGTGCCCACTTCTGCAGTGGAGATTGTATAATAGAATAGTTTATCTTCTTGTGCAAATCTTAACTTTTTGTTTCATTTTGCCTGGTTGTGAATGAGTTCCAGGCAGAGTTAGATTGTCAATGAGTTCCCTATGATAAGCTTTTTAACAAACTTTAATCTAATTTGAACAGCAGAAAAAAAGCCTGAGTAGGAAAACCACATGCCATTGGGATAAACCAGCTGCGTATGTGAGCGTTACCAGTGTTCTCAAAACTTGAGCAGTCCCGCAGAGCTGTGTCAGTTCTGAGTTACTTGCTGAAGATCAAACTTTTGTGTTCTCAAAACAGTTTAATAATGTGCAAGTGCAGAGGGCTCCATTCTGCTGTTTTATCAAATGGGATATTTAATATACCTCTGCTGTCATTATCAAAGTAACTCATTTAGAAGAAAAGAAAATCATTTCACCTTGCTGCCACTTAAGGCCTAGAGAACCCCAGGGCATGGTGGTGGTCAAAGCTTGGACAGGATGAAGCACAGGAGTAAGCACTTGCATCTATAAAACAATTTCCAAGCCAATGAATTGATGGAGTGATTCTTTCTAAGGAAAATTAATTTGTATATGACTGATACATAACTTTCTAACCTGGCTGAACAGTGAGTGATCAGACTGTGCACAAAAAGCTATAGCAAATACTTGGTACAATGCTGATAAGCTGCCTCAGCTGCTTGCAAACCTGCTGAGCATTTTTTCACTGAAGACTCTTTGCCACCTTTGTAGTACTTCCTCCTTCTTTGGTCTAAAATTAAAGCCCAGACTAGAAGGGGAGCAGGGAGGAAATCAATACACTTTGCTGACAGTCACTAGAGTTGCTTGCTCTTTTTTTTTTTTTTTTTTTGAGGCAACAGAGAACTGGCTTCAGATGCTCTTGGCCTCCTACTGCCTTCTATAAATGATGAGATCGGTGGTATTACATCTCCAGCTTTGTAGCACGAAGGATTAACATATGTTTTAAACAGTACATAAAGCTGTCAGAGTGCAGCATAATCTCAAGTTTGTCTTTGTGATGACCTACAGCCTCTCAGGTAGCTAGGGAACAGTTGGATTGAGACGGCAGCAAAACTGTGTAGAGAGCTGATAGCTGAGCGGCAGACTCTGTGTCACTGATTAAATACTTTGTCTTTACAGGCCGGGTTTCCTTTTTCACCTCTGGATCGGAGAACCTTCATCGGGTGGAAAAGGTTCACTGGGGCACTCGCTATGCCATCACCATTTCCTTCACTTGCAACCCAGACCATGGCATTGGGGATCCAGTCTTGATGTAATTCCTCTGGGGATGGAACATGAGGTCAAATGAATTGAGAGAAGCCCTGCAAGAAGAGAGGAAAGAGGAAGATAACATCTCTTATAACCTCACATTCAATTAGGATTTCCCAGCTGTGTTAATATATTGTAATACACCTGTTTTCACATGTCCTTTTCCATAAATGTTGCAAACAGTGCCTTAAAGACCATCTTAAATTTGGTGTATTCTGAAAATGGTTTGTCTTCCTATCCTAAAGGGATAATCTACAAAGAAGAGTCCTGTTGTGGGCTCTTTCTTTTTATTATTTATTTTAAAAATTCTCCAGTTTGAGACACAAACATTCTTTTGGACCATGTCTCGATATGACCACCCATGCTGCTGTTACCTGTTGTTTAATGATTTAGTCTTGTCAGTTACTAATGGGATGTAGAAAGCTTGACCTAAATTAATAGAGCAAGATGAGTGTTATTCTTCTGAACATGCCTTCTGTTGAGGAATGTGTTCTCCTTAGCATGGGCGTTAGTGGGCAATACATCTGTGGCTTGACTACTGGAACTTACTTGAATTTTTTTTTTTTATTGAATGACTACAGATACTGTCTGCTACAAACTGGGACTAGTTAATACTTCAGAAATACAGTTCTCTGGTTAGCCAGAAAACATACCGCTTTTGGGATTACAAATGCTTTGGTGTGCTAGGGAATGTCGTGGCATTAGATCCCTCTGATCAGAACGCAGCATTCCCAACTCACTTCATTTTCTTTCAGTCATAATGGACATGATCGGTCTTCCTGTTGGAATCCCAGCGTTAAGGTTGTTAAGAGCTCTTTACGGGGACAGCTTGACCATGTAACCCTGTACTAAAAAGGAGAGCTGGGCAGAGGTAATCGGACAGTCCTCTGGATTCAGCTGAGCATTCATTGATACCTAATTCCCAGGTATGACAGTAGGATTTGGGAGGGAAAGAACTGAGAAAAATGCTAGTTTTGTTGTGGTTTTCCATATGCCAGTTCTGGCCTCCTTAGACTCAATCCTGTAAACTTTGGCTTGCTGTTGGAAGGCTGGCTAACAAAACCACATGGACCTGTGGACTGTGGTATGTGGGGTCCGAGGGGAAACTGGTGTCCACCTGCATTTCAAATTGATATAGTCTTGAGCTGGAGCTCGATGATCATAAACCACTTTTAGGCTCAATAAATACATGTTTTCAATGTAATCTTAAGACCAAGTTGAAGTAAGCTTGGTTTCTTATTGTTGATGCAACTACAAATCTTGTGTTGTGAAATGCTGTGTTTTATCTTGTCCAAAACAATGTTTTAGCTGTTTCAGAAAGTTTCTCAATAGCTCCTTTTGGACTTTTCTTCAGTTTAGTATGAAGACTTTTTCTATTAACTAGGACCATTAGTCTGTGGTGTTCCTTGAGTAATAAACTGCAAGGACTTCAGAGAAGAGGGGATGATTGCATTGTAGTACAGATAAGGTAACAAACAAGTGCATAACCTTGCCAACTACCTTGCTTATTACAATCAAAGATTTTTGTGGGTCAGCGCATTGGTAAGTAAATGGTAGGAAAACCTAATTTTTTTCTCAATCAAATTCTGAAGCAAATGTTGATTTGTTTTATTAAGTCTATATAATTTCTGTGAGACGCTTTGAAAATCTAGAAATACCCTTTGATTATTTTTTTTTATGCATACAGTTTTCACTTTTGTTTTAATCTACCCTTTTATGCAAAGAATAAGTATTGGGGGGGATTACAGTGAAGATCAACATAAAGAGGAATGATAACAGGACACTTGGAGTTGTTCTATTGTCTCTCTTGTCATTTGGCACACCAGCAAGATCAGTCTTCTGTAATTTCATTTCATGTCTATGCTAACAAGGAAGAATTGTTAAAATGGCTGGGTGCTAGGAAATAATAAAGTCAGTTGGATTCTATATCTAAATACTTGTCTTGAAGCCTGTTAATTCCAAGAAATTTGCATTTTACCTAAGTTGTAAGGCGATGTGAGGGCAGACCAAGATCATCAGCAACTGCTTTACTGGCTTAAAACTTGATTCTGAACATTACCTTGAGATTTGAATGTACAGCCTTGTCCACAGAAATACCTGATAGCAGTGGGATCTAAATATGAATGGACCTGTGTGGATTTGGGTTGGGATTCTCCAGGTTGAGGGTCCTATGTTCCAAAACTCAACTTCACTGTAAGTCCTATTGTTGCTCTGCAATGCTGTCATGTTAAATTGCTTTGCTGCTTTTAACAGTGTTGGTTGGTTACTTCTGTCTGTCATGCAGGTTTTGAGTTGCACTAAATGAAAATGGCACTTTCAGAGCTGCCCTCCTCAATACAAATACTGTTCAACGAGGTTGTGTTAGGCCATGGAGGAAATCTCGGCTCATCTCCTCTCAGATTTTCATCTTTCAAAGATGCTGTGTATTGTAGATCTCCTGAACGCTCCGCACCTCTCATGCTAGGAATTGACTGTCATTCAGAAATAAAATCAAGTTGGTATTTGTCTTTTTGAGTGTTTAAGCTTCAGTAATGTGTTCAATATGATGACCAAACCTGTCAAATATAATTTGTGGAGAAACATGTGCACTGTACCTGGTAAGAGAATTCATCTTTTGAAAGTAGTATAATAATTTAATATACTTGATGTTTCAGTACCAACCAAGGTTTTTCTATCTGAAGCTTCAGTATCTGGACTACTAAAAGCAATATCTAGATCTATGAAGAAATTAAATAGCAAAGGAGGAAGATTCTGAACACAGCCTTCAGCAGGATAATTGCAGAAAGGCTGATGTTCCTGGGGCAGAGTGGGATTTACAGAATTCGCTGATGACTACAAATAAATTTGGCTTAAATTTATTTTAGTCCACTTAAATAACCTGAATAACTTTTTATTAAGGGTTCTCTCTTCCCGGTTCTTGACAGAGAATTCTGAATTTGAAATACCTTAATTACTGTCTGTCCTCTTTCAGGTTCAGCCTGTCTGTTGCTACTGGGAAATGCAGTGCTCTGTTTCTTAGTGCTCTGATTATGCTGAGGACGGAATTAGTTTTGTTAAACGAGCATAAATCTGATGACAAGCTGCTGCAGACGAGTGCTCTTAATTGAACACAAGGTGAAGGCAGAATTTGGCTTGATGTTTCCCAGTTGCAGTGATTTAGTCCCTTTGTAAAGAGCCCTTGTGGTTCAAACAAAGTGAAGAAAGGTCACTCCATGTTCCATGTAAACTGGGGCTACGTCCTGCCGTTAAATTTACAGCCTTGTACCTGAAAGCGTACTTGTTACAAGTATTTGGGAATGTTGATTTGTATTTTGAAAGAAGAATATTTGGAAGGGAAGGTAAAGCCTGCTTGTGTGAAAAGTCCCAGGGTGATATAGGAAATACAGCAGGAGAGCAAGCCAGAGTTTGAATCCCTACTATGAGATCGAGTGATGCTTCCTGAGGACTTCTGTGAAATTGTATGACTTAAAAAACTGTCTTTCCATTCAGAGGATTTGGGGAATATCAAGAACTTGTATAAAATTAACAGGTATGTGATCAGATTAAGTTTTTAGTGTAAACTGAGCTTTCAATCCTGTAGCATGCATTTAATTTTATTTTTTTATCCCCTATGACATCATCCTAGGAACTCTTGAATGGACTTTTTGGCATTTCTCATGTATAAAATTTCATTGTGTAAGCAGTTGTGGAATAATTGTGTTTTAATTCCCCATAAATCCAACTGAAGGTTGGAAAGATAAATCAATACTGAGATTTTCCTGAATATGTAGTGCCTGTGCAAAATAATCTAAGCTCCACCTTAATGAATTTCCAGTCCAGAAATGTTTACCAGGATACTCTATTTACAAAAATATTTTAATTTGGATTTATAGCAGAAATTTAGCTTCATGTCTTTTATTTATAAGGTCAAAATCTCAACAGGGTACTTTCTGAGGCTGTAATGCATAAAGATGCCCATGTTAAAATAAAAGGGTAGCTGAAATGGCATTGATAACGACTGCTGTCAAGAAAATCTGGTTTTGTTTCGTCTTCAATTGCAATTCTTATACATTTGAATTTCTCCTTTATAGTTTTCCCTTTTCCCCAGTAAATAAAGATGGTTTTGTTTTTCATATGGAGTTCCTCACATTCCTTCTACATCCAGATATCCTTACGCAGTGTTTACATGTGAATTGGATCTCTCTAACATGCTCGTGTGTAGCTCTGTGCTATATTTCTGTCTTGCCTAAATTCTAGGAATAAACCCAGGAAATGTTGCTGGAGGTCAGGGCTCTTTGGGGTGGAGGGGGGGGAATACAACCAACCACCCTCCTCCTCTTCCCTCCCCCAAGGAAAAAAAAAATCCCAACTCCTGTCTCTCCTTTTTGAGTCTCTTGTGCAAAACATTCCAAGAACAGCAGAAGAGTTATTTCCTTTCTGAACCGCAGATGGCTCTGGCATGCATTGATCATCTTCGCCTCATTCAGAGAGGCAATCTTCTCAGGAAATCCGGCTAAGAGAGCCATCATAAAGTGGTGAGTGTCTATTGCTCCTTGTAAAATACCGCAAAGAACTATAGCATTCTCTGCCTTATCTCTGGTTTTGTAAACCACCTCAGGAAGCTGAAAGCTAATTTTGTCATGTTTGCTGAAACCTGCCAGTCAACCCTTTTAATGACAATCCAGTTATCCCTAAAGTATCTGTGTAGGTGCTTTCCGTCTTCCATATGAGTGTTGGTGACTTGTACTAAAGCTTTTCAGGATGGACTGTCCAAGGAAAATCACTATCCTATTTCCAAACTGTACATCTATCTTTGTATCTGTCCATTATCTCCCCTCAAATCACTTATTTTATCTCTCTTTTTATCTGTCCCAGCATACTCAAGCTTCTACCTGTAGCACATATTGAATAGGGTATATAAGCTCAGTCCATTATTCATTCATAGGCTGGCTCCATAGAACTGAAAAGGAACTAGCTTTTTCCCTATAGCCCTTTTAGCCCATGCAGTGTATTAATCTTGATGAAGAATTTCTAATGGTGCTGGAACTGTCAAGTGTTGCTCAACTTTTGAGACTTCATTCAGCATTTATTTTTTCCAAATGCACTCTTATTTTTCTTCTATTACAGGCATTGTCCATACTTGAAACAACACCCTTTATCAGAGATATTTATTTGCATCTTCCCTGTTTTCCTATATAGCTGAAATAATGACAAAGTAGGGATCAATGTTGCCTGCTGTTGAGCATTCTTGTCTTTCACAATAACTCATGGACAGGGAGTACTGAATTTTGAAACAGATACTAGAGAAACTTTTTTCTTTTTTTCTTTTTTTTTTTTTTTTCCTGTTCTTTGTCAGTGACTGTTTTGCATTAAGGAACTGCTGGTAGAGCTGCTCCTTTGTGAACTGTCTTTGACTTTAATGGGATGCTATGCATGTAGATCAGACTGCAGGATTGCAACAACAAATGCCTTGCTTGGATAGTTCTTACTGTGAAATCAATAAGCCAGCCTGAAAGCACCATCTCCTTTATTTCTGTAACCTTTAAATGCATCCAAACAAAGCAAAAACCTCAAAACTGCTGCATAATCTTGAGGCTGTCCAAGGCGCCTGGACTGGTTGAATACATAAGCTGCCAGGTTGGATAGATCGTTAATAATGAACTTCACTGAGACCAGCACCTGAGACTTCAAGCTGAAGACTCAGTGGTGTAGTAGTACAGAAGGAGCATGTGCCTGGAACCACAGCACCTCTTTTTGAAGACAGTATTTTATTTATAGAGAGAAGCTGAGATTTATGGTGCATTCATGTTACTTCTTTCTGGAAACTTCTTGTAATAGGCCTATAGTGTTCAAAAAGCTCATTTGAGAAGTGGATACCCTTCCTATTCTTTTGTTAACAACAAAAAAGCCAACTAGGTTACTGGGGCATGAGACACACCTTGAGAATTTGGCTCTTAATTTGTTTATCAATTTACACAATTATATTAAGCTGTTTACGTAGATGCCAGGATACTTTGCTGCCGAGTCCACAAAAAACCCTAGATGTCTTCTTTTGAGACTGCTTTTCACTGCCAGGGTAAGGTCTCTGGGTGGATTCACACCCTGGAGGTGACCTCCTCAGCATATTAACTTGCCAGCCAGACCATTAAATCTGGGGGGAGTAAACAACGGCAGGTCCTAATGGAGCAATTCTGCATGCGTTGGCTCTGGATGGTAGTTTCTACCATTCCCTCTAGTAGGCAAATGTTTTCATTTCTGATTTATGTTACTGAAAAGGAGACGTGTTCTGGGAGTCCCCTCTGCATATTAGGGCTTTAAATGTGATTCACTGAATAACCCTGTAAAAAGAAGGCTGCGTTTTACGAGGTGATTCAAAACTTAAAAGGCTGCCGTGAAACCAGAGGAACTCTAAGCCCGTTTAGTCCTTGCACTTCTCGACACAAAAGAAGTGAGAAAAGTGATCGTGTACTTTGATTATTTCTATTTCACTATGACAGTTCTGTGGGCTGTGTGTGTTTTCTCATCTGTTTCTTTACTTTAAAGGGCAATAGAAATTAATTAGGAAAGCATTCCTTTCCATAGGGAGGAGTATGATCAAAATAAACTCATTTACTAGTATGAAAAAAATACAACACAAGTCAGTCAAGCAGAGGGGTAAGTTTAAATTTAAGATGGTGTTAGGCAGAGAGCAGCTATGGGAGATTTCTCCCATGCTGAAACATCCATATCAATGTTGAACTGACATTTCCCCACCCTCCCCCCCTTCAGTCTGCTTTATTATTTCATTAGAAGATCAGACAAAGAACTGGAAATTGTGAGCTTTCAGGTGGCAAAGCTCTTGCTGTCAGAACCCTTGATAAAATTTTCAACAGGGCCTCTTCTTCAATACCATTTACTTAAGCTATTTATCCTGCCTGTATGCTGTTTGAAATAATAGTGAATGTTGAGAATGCTAAAATATGTTAAGTCATGCTGCATCCATTTATTTAAAAAATAATGACTTAAGCTTTCCTCTGCATGTATTTTGAGTATCAACTGGGCCTTTTTTAGGTGGTGGTGTCCTCCATGTATAGCATCTGCCTATTGTACCTTTTCTGGCACTAGGTAGAACTTAGACCTGTAAATAGGAAACAATCCAAGAAGAAATTAAGACTCAATTCATAAAGTATACAGAAATGTTCCCCTGGGGGGAAAAAAAAAGGTTTGATAAAACTTGGGGTGTTTTTAGAACCATAAGGAAGGACAAAGTTTTACTCATTTTGTAATCCTTTAGTTGAGGTGTAGGGGGTACGTACCTGCTCCTCAGTACTCTTCATTGAGGTTCTACTCTGCTTTTTCATGCTTGCACAGTGTCTGGAAATCTATTGCTCTCCTTGTTCGTTTTCCTTTTCTAGTTACACACACACGCTTTATTGGAAACCTTTGTCGGTTCAGACCACATGCAGAGGCAGGAACCATCTCTCTTCTCTGCCTCAGCACAGGCACAAAATGCATGCACGTGGGTTTCCCAGGAAGGCTGCTGTCCTCTTGAAGTGTGCCCAGCTGAAAGCACACAGCTCGGGGGGTGATGAAGGCACACGCTCACGTTGCACTTACTAGTGCCAAGAGCTTTGAAGGCTTCTGTTGTCGCAGCTGGCTGCCTGCTACCTTTGAGCCTTGGTATTTTCATCTCAACAACTGGTACCTGAGACCTCCTGACTTTGTTTTCTAAATGCTTTTCGCACCTCCAGACAGCTTGTGAGTCAGTGAATTCCAGCATGCTGCAAAAATTATCACCTTCAATACAAGTTAAGCACGTTTCGACTCTCTAGCTAGGGCTTTTATCTTGCCTTTGGAGCAGGCCGTTAAAACTTGTCCTCTTGCTAATCATTCTCTTTAAATTAAATACTTCAGCCATAAAGCATGCACAGATGGGCAGTAATCAAAAGCCTTTCCATAGCTGAATTGTACAAGGAGATACTTTTGAGATGTTCAGGTCTAAATTAATTATTCTGTCCTCTAGTCAGGCCAGCTCTGTGACTTGCAGGATCCTGAGCAAGGCAGAAGTGAAGGTGTTTGGCAGCACCTCGCTCCCCTGGAGTGGGGGTGTAACAGTGCTGTAACTGTCTGTATGCTTACAAGGGCTTATATATTAAAGTTACAAACATGGCAAGGGTCACAAAGAACAGCGCTGTCCTCTTATTAGACCATTTGACAGGATTAAAAAAAGCAGAAAGCTTTGAGCCTTAAAGGCCTGTTTTTAATGAATGGCGTGAATGAGTAAGTGGATCAATTAACTTGAAGTAAATGTCATTGTCTGCCTCTCCCCTGCCCATCAGCTGAACAGGGTTATTGAACCTGAGATTTCCTTCCTTCTAGTTGTGGACAGACATGCAGGGGATGGACGTGCAGCAGGGGAGAAGACTCAGCTCGGTTATTAACCTCCTTCCTGAGGCTGCAGTCACTTCTGGCTCCAGGCGTCTGTAGCCGCTTCCAAAGCACTGCTGAGGGCTCGTTTGTGGTACAGAGAAGACAAAGGTGGGAATAGGACTAGGCTATTGCAAAATCTTTTTAAATGAGTAAGATCTTAGTGCTTTAATAGTGATGGCATGCTTGCTGAATGCATTCTGAGTAGTCTGGCTGCACCAGACTATCACTGAGGAGACAAGGATTTTCCAGTTGTGTTCAGGGCCCTGGAAGGTGAGGACAGCACGTGTACATCTGAGCCAGCTTTATTTACCGAGCATGCCAGTGGTTCAGGTTTGTATCAGTGCGACAAGTAAAATCTGTCTCTAAATTAGTTGCCTTGAAATTGAGAAATATTACTTTGGGGAAGAACACAGGTGTGGAAAGAATGCTTGACTTAACGAGCTTATCTAAATCCTGGTCCCCTTCAAAAGTACTAGCCTGACCATAATTATTAAAGTTAGTTCTTTTTAGATAATAGCCAAGAACGCTTCATAACCACGTGAGGATTTACCATTCCTATACAGCTAAAAAGCTGAAACTAATCTGAAATACGAGAACTTGAGCATTTTGCAAAAGTGGTGTATTGCAGCTAAAAGTCAGCCTCTGTACTTGGGCACAGGCTTAAACCAGCCCTCGGCAGGAGTTTTTACAAGT